GGATAAAGAACTACAAAAGAATGGACTAGTGTACTTTATTATGGATCCAAAATCTTACAGGGAAACACCAGAACAGGAATAGTATGGTCTCTCTTTAGAGCACCTGTTAGGACTCCGGCTCCAGCATTATTGATTAACTGTAACATTTAAGCAACTGTTAGAACATTCATTTAATATGGTGCTACTGTGGTCAAGTCGGCAAGTGATAAAAGCATGGAGCAGTTTTTTTTTTCACATCCCCTTGAGAGAGTATGTTCCTTACTTCACAAAGGTTACAGAGGAGAGGACAAATGCTTTTTGCTGACTTGTTTAATGGAGGATTTGAAGAATAGACCTGGCCCTGGAAGCTCTAAGAGTTTTCAATGTGATTTAATCTATCAAGAAGAATTTCATCAAAGTGACTATGATGTGATTGATGATTGGATGATATTCTGAGCTTTTTTGGACCAAAAACAATAACTTGATTTAGATTTTTATTTTATTTTTTTTAAGTCTGTGTTGTAAGATTTCGTATCTACTGTTTCAAAACCTGTTCTGGGATCCAACATAACCAGTATAGTGTAGTGACAAGGCCTTTCTGAGAGGAATAATTCCAGTCCTTGGAATGTAGTGTGTCATGAAGGTTGTAATAAATCTTTAAAAAATGATTCTTTGTATGAATTTTAGACCTTAGGAAAGTATTACAATTTTGCCTGTACTAGAATAATAATAATAGGATTTAGCAGAACGTAACCAGTTTAAAACCACAAGTTTGTGTAATATATAATTTTAGTTAGTAGGTGTATTAAGTCATACTATTAGGCAGAATATATGTAAGATTAGCAACTGATGTAGGATTATTAGTAGGTTTAGAATAGGACTGAGAAATGGTACACTTATAAACCAGAATGATTCTGTTAACATCCACATAGTCATTGATTATTTCAACTGTTATTAAAAAGTGGTCAAATACAGAGTTTGATTAACTGAAAGGTAATTGCCTATTATTAAAAATAGTGCATATTACATACGTAATATATTAACAAGTTACTTTTCCCAAAATGTAATTAAGTCACCAATTACTCTGCAATACATTTTTATGATCCAAAATGAGAATAGACTTTAATGACATTTCCATCATCCTAAATTAATATTCTACAGCTGGTCCAGCTCCCTGTCATTCTGCTGGTTTGAGGTTATCAAATGGTAACATATTTGCTGTTGCAGTTACTGAAATTGAATCAGGCCTAACACCTTTGGTATGTACCCTTTGGGCTAACTGTGCAGTATATAAATCAAACTCTTTGATTCCACCATAGAAAGACATCACCTGAGGCCTTGAACTTTTGTGCAATGCTGATCAAAATCGAAAGTCAGACCTTTACAAGCCATTATTATATTTCTGGTTTTTTTAGACACCTTCAGAAAAGAACTTAAACTAGCAATTTCCAGTAGTGGATCCAATAAAATAATCTGAAAAGCCAGAATGATAATGTGTAGGACTCTTGGTTTATTTGTATACATTATTAAACTAGGCCTGCCCCTATCCCATCAGTTCAGGGAGATGAGGTATGTTTAGCAGAACCTTCTAAGCTGGTTGGGTGAAGTGAATGTTGTGTTAGCCTACCAATTTTTGGTTTTAGCTTATCAAGTTAATAAATGAAAATGTTTTCAGCAACAGGTGCCATGAGAAACTATGAGAAAATACACTTTTACAATTTTGTTGTTCCTCTTGCAAAGATGAAATTGTAGATCCTTACCAAACAGATGTGATACAAGCAAATACACTCAATTCTCCTGCACTTCTGTATTTGCTTTGGTTTTGCTGTTGGCTTGGCTGCTTTTGTTTTCCCACCTAAAGCCATCAGACTCCAAAGTGATTGATTTTGGGGTCGGTCTAAAAAGGTTTAAGAGGAAACAGGACAAGATGGATTCTCTTGTGTTTTGAAATGAACAAATCCCGTAAAAATTCACCTCGACTACATGCACATTGTCTTACCTGCTGTGTTATTCTTCATGTCAATGCACATCAGCCCTGTTTTATATATACGGTATCTTGATGGATGGATGGATGGATGGATGGATGGATGGATGGATGGATGGATGGATATTATTAAATAACATAGACAAGCGGCTGCTTCTCCACATCGAGAGGAGCCAGTTGAGGTGGCTCGGGCATCTGATTAGGATGCCTCCTGGACGTCTCCCTGGTGAGGTGTTCTCGGCACATCCCACCGTGAGGAGGCCCAGGACACGCTGGAGGGACTATGTTTTTTTCGGCTGGCCTGGGAGCACCTTGGGATTCCTACTGAAGCTGCTACCCCCACAACCCGACCACGGATAAGCGGAAGAAGATGGATGGATGGATGGATGGATTATACAATATTATATATATATATATATATATATATATATATATATATATAGCAATTGTGGCAAACTTTCAACTTCTCTAATTTTATTGGATTAATTAATTGTTTTGGCTGTGATTCACCTCGTCAGTGTTTTCATGAGTTTGTGTTTTCTCATGCCCATGTCATTAAAGAACTTATGGATATGTTCGAACTTTAATGGACTTTGTCATTTTTCCTTTAGTAAACGTGTTTATTACCCTTTTTAACATTTATTCACATCCATGCAACGTGTAGTCAGTGATTTTTTTTATAATTAATACAGCTGAGCAGGTACAAATTTATGCTTGATGGTGAAAGCTGTTTAAAGCGAAGGCCGGTCATGCTCCCTGTAATAGCACCAAATTTTACAGCTGTCAATCTAATGAGGGGCTGGGGTCTTGGAAGAACACCTGCAGACTATTAACAGAACAGGACATTAGGAAAGTGACGACCATGCACTATTTTCTCACAGCTTGACTAAAAGAAGAGACTATATCCAGTTGAGACTAATTTATGAATGTGGATACCCATTAAACTAAACTCTAAAAGATTGGTTGGTCAAAAACAATCTGATTATGCTTCTCACTTGAGGCATCAGACAGTTTGAATGTGCTTGATAATAGTCTAAATTATCTCAGCAGCATAAATGAGATAAAAACGGGTTTTAAATGTTCATTATTTTTATTTTAACCAATGACTTACAAGTTTATTGTATTTTGTTTGTATGTACTTATACTGGCCGTGCTTAACTGAGACAAGTAGCAGAGGTGGAAAACTGAATTTTATGCTCTAAAGACAAATTAAAGTCTCATTAGGGGGTAACTGATGGAAATCTTAACTTGCCTGTAATGTTAGTTCATAGTTTTTTATAAGCAATGCAGATAGAGTTGCACCATATATTACTAAAATAGCTGGTGTCTTTGGCAAATTGTACAAAGCAGCTGCTTTTTTACGATAAAATATTTAAGGAACTTTTACAAATGGTTTCTCAATTTGTGACACAAAATGCCTTTTTTAATGACTACTGCAGCCAACCTATTCAGGACAAGTATTTTTAGTACTTAGGAAAGTGCCCTTTTGCTTTTATGGCCTGCTGCAAATGGGATTCACACCCAGACACCAGCCGCTGGCAGTGTTTCTGATTAATCCTAACCCACTCCTCATGAGCAAAGGGTTCCAGTTCATGAATAATCTTGGGTACGCTTAGTGTAACTGCCTTTTTCAAATCCCACCAGATGTTTTCAATGCAGTTCCAGCCAGGCAACTATGATGGTCATGCTAGTATCTCCTAGGACTAGTTCTGAAACTCTGCCTTGGGGGACTATTAGATATGCCAAAGATCACTGTCCTGTTTGAAGATCCACTGAACCCCAAACTTTAGCTTCTTTAAAGGGAGCATGACTTTTTCTCCCAGCATTCCCTGATAGTTGACTGGATCCATTTTGTTCTTCACTTTTGCAGTGCCACATAAAGTACAGCAGCCCTAGAAGATCACTGAGCCATCACCATGCTTTACTCTTGTCAGGGGTGTCCTATTCAGTGTCTGCCTCACTCATCCTCCAAATGGTTGAAAAGCTGCAGTTTGGATTCCTGGCTCCTCAGAACAGAAAACCCTAATCTCTTTAGATTATTTAATATCTGAAGTTGACCTTTCATGTGCATTCAGAATTATTTATATCAGTGGGTTTCAAAAATATGAAGACTACAGTTGTCTTGGGGTATTTGCAGTTTGGATGAAATCTTGAAATATTATCTTTATTTAATGGAAATCTTCCCACAAGCAGAACTATTTTTGGGGGCTTCATATTTTTAGATGCAACTACCGTATATCAATAAATGTAGATTAAAAGGGCCTATTTGTCAGTTTATTTCAGCCTTTAAGCAGGTAATGCACTTTATTGTTGTGTCGCTAGAATGGCCCTGCCACCATGACAGATTTGAAAACACATTTTTTTCTATTATTTTATGTCATTTCATGTCTCTCCCTTCCTTTATCAATCTGCAAGTCCAATTACAAATACTGTTTTGGCTGTTTGCATTTTTGTTTCCAGAATGGTTGAACAAAATGTGGTTTTACATTTATCTATATGTTCATGTACTTTTTTTACTGGAAGATTTTCTTTCCTCTGAATGCAAAATGGGAAGAGTTTGTTCCTCCTGTTTGTAGTTTATGTATATGCCCAGAAGCAGCTTTCTATTTGGCATTCAGAGTGAATCAGAATTCTTATCTAACTCTCTCTAAGAAAGTATGTAGCACTGCACAGTTTCTTTAGCCTTTAAGTATATAGCTGACCCGTGCTGTATCTGTAAAATGAGGCAGCGTGCATTGTGGGACTGTTAGTAGAAAATACTTTTCGTTCCACTGTGGGGATTTCTCTGAGTGCTGAGCTGAGGTTATGTAGTGTATAAATATCACACTAAAAATACTAATCTGAGAAACCTTTAATAAAATAGGAAATGGTGAGATTGCAGCACACCGTTCAACAAACTGGAAGCAATTTTAAGCACAACCTTTGAAGAATGTGATTTGTCAGAGTAGGCACCATTGCAACTACTGTGATGCTGATTCTGAGCAGCAAAAATTTAAAGTTTTTCTTCCCCTGTCAACCTCCTTATCTTTTCCTGAAGATCCCTCAGATCAGCTACGCGTCAACAGCCCCGGAGCTAAGCGACGACAGGCGCTATGACTTCTTCTCACGGGTTGTCCCTCCAGACTCATTCCAGGCCCAGGCCATGGTTGACATCATTCAAGCCTTAAACTGGACCTATGTCTCTACTGTCGCCTCAGAAGGCAGCTATGGAGAGAAGGGAGTGGAGGCTTTCACCCAGCTCTCCAAGGAAGCAGGTAAGGCATAGAGATTAGCACCGAATGCAAATACTGCACTGCAGAAAATGTAATTCTTTTTCAAAAATCTATCTTTTTGATTAAAAATATTTTTTCACTTTACTGACTCAGTATGAGGTTCCTGTTTATTATAAAATCTGTTTTGAGTGGATTAATTATTGATCTTTTTAGCTGAGTGAGTTGTGGAATGTGACTGGAAATGTAGATAGAGAAACAACTGGCACACAGAATATCTGCAGTAAGAATTTCCTGTTCTCTTTTCACCTTTCTTTAGCTTTGTAGTATTTTTTTCAAATAATGAACATGGAGGAAGCTAGGCTTAACTTTGGCTCATTGCAGTGTTAGTTATTTGCTTCAACCAAGAACCTATACAATATGTCACATTTATCATATCAGTTATTGTGTAAAAAAAATTAGAAGAAAGTATTATTGTGAGAAAAAACTGTCTATTTGGCTCAAGTAGGGGTACTCCTACCCCTACTTGTCATTAAAGACACCTTTAATGACAAAAACAAATGCCAATATGTAGAGTTTTCTAAATTTAAAGTGAAATAGTGTGCTGGTTCAGCAAATATTTAAATTCAGCTTTTCAGCAAATAAAGATGTGTTTGCAAGGGAGAAAAAGAGAGTTCCCCACCCCCTTACATGGGAACAGAACACCTCGCGTGTCCAGCCAGGCCAAAAATTCCCTTTAAACACCCCCATTTCAGAGACATAGACAGATATCTGGTATTACAGGCTAACAAAGAGACCAAAAAAAAAAAAAAAACACTCCAAAGGGGGGGACCTGTTCATCTGATTGAATTTGGATTTTTTCCAAGCCAAAACAAAGTTTGTTTTTGGTCCACTCTATAAAGCCTCAAACTCAAAGCTATTTCTTACATTTTGAATTGAAAATGTTTCCTGGGTGGGAAGCAAAACGTCTTAAAACTTTGAAACCAGTGGATTGTTTTTCTTCTCTGAGTTTCACACTCTGGTTTAAAACACAGTGTGGCGCTTTTGCCAACCTCTGTCCTGTGGTTGACATTTTATGAATATTAATCTGCACTGAGATATATTTTAAAAAATCAAGTAACCTTTTTCATTAAAGAAATAAAGAAAGACTAAGCTTGTAGAGTGTTATATGCAGAAACATAAGTAACTCACATCTCTTTGTATTGCTAAATTCATGGATAACCTCTCTGGTGGATAACCTCTCTCCCTTTACAGTGTTCTATAGCTCTTAGTTAACTGCAGCCCTCCCTGCTTGGTTGCTGAGTGAAGTAGACACTTGACAGAGTTTCTTAAGATTTTGTCGGTCATGAAACATCCACTATTATTTTCTAAACATAATTTGTATGTCCAGCTTATCACTACATTAAGCAGTTTTAAATAATTACCACTATGCCATTAAAGCTTGATATGTGGTGCTTTCGCATTATTAAGTATATTGCAGCAGATTTCTATGTTTGTTTTATTAAGTGCACAAGAAAACCCAAACCTAAGGTAGACTACAGTCCAATTTGCCAAAGTTTTACACCTGCACCATGCTAACACATATGCTAGCAAAGCACATTTATGGTTTACATGGCTGGTTAGATACCATCAGGGGCAATTTTTACAAAAAAAGGAGACTGATGCCTCACAAAATAATACCTTCCCTACCTGAAAATAATTAAAACGCTGAGCAACTTTTCAGAATCTCCCCAGCAGTTAATTAAGTATTGAAAAATAAAAATTTGTCCACTGTACACTGTACTAAAATTTGCACTCAGTATCATAAGACAGTTTATTAATCAATCTATTTTCAAAAGCAACATAGAGTTTCTATTATTTGGTTCTGTTATCAAAGGCCACTTATTTTAGCGAATTGTTTTGTTTCTTTTCTTATTTGTCTTTATCCATAAGGTAATGTTTTAAAAATAGGATTTTAAATTAAATAAAATACATCTATAATGTGGTATGATTTATTCCTGCTGCTGCTTAACGATGTGGTTTGTATGAACAGATGTTCAAGAAGTAAGTATTACCTGTTGTTGGGTTTATATAGTAGCAGAGGATGCTAACTGAGGTCTTGTTGTGTTTTTTTTGCCTTATGAAGATATTGCACTTCCGTTTACTTTAATGCTGTGTTTTCTGGGCTTTCCATTTTGAAGAATGGTTAAAACTATTAATCTTCTTTGTCCAAAAAATAATTATTTGATTCCTACACTTCAAAATCTTAGTAAGTCAATTTTTCCTAATGTAAGTGCATTTTGTCTTGAATTAAGCAGGTAAAGTGAGACACTTTTGCCAGTGGAATAAGACAAATATTTAAAATAAGAAAACAAATAATTCAATTCAATTCAGTTTATTTATATAGCGCCAAATTCACAACACATGTCATCTCAAGGCACTTTACAGTTAAACCAGATCATACAGTCAAATTGATACAAAGTTTTCTATCTAAGGAAAACCGGTTGATTGCATTGACTCATTGACTCAAATACAATCCCTCACACTAAGCATGCTTGTAGCAACAGTGGAGAGGAAAAACTCCCTTTTAACAGGAAGAAACCTCCAGCAGAACCAGGCTCAGTGTGAGCGGCCATCTGCCGAGGCCGACTGGGGTTCAAGGAGACAGAAGCAGAGATACAAAAAGCAGCTGTAAAAGGCGGCCCCGTCCAGGAAACACACAGCCAGGCAGACGAGCTCCAAGGCAGCTCCCATGCCACAGGACGAAGAGAGCACATCCACTCAGTCACGGTCAGAGAAACAGGACCACACTGGAAATCAGGCCGATCTCCAACATCTATAAACAAGGGTGTTGATAGAAGCAGCACAGCTGATGTTTCTTTCCAGGATGACGTCACAGCCAAACAGGAACAGACGAGGCAAAGCTACTCTGAGGAAAAGCAGAGAGAGCAGAAGGTTAGAGATTGAACTAACAGATTCTGCAGAATAGGAGAACAGAGAGAGAATGAAGCAGAATGATGAAATGGGGGTCCTTATGTCCTCCAGAAGTCTAAGCCTATAGCAGCATAACTATAGAGATAGCTCAGGATAACCTGAGCCACCCTAACTATAAGCTTTATCAAAAAGGAAAGTTATAAGTCTAGCCTTAAAAGTAGACAGGGTGTCTGCCTCACGGACTAAAATTGCATTGTCTTATTTCAAGTGCATATCTAATTATCTTATTTTAACGTTAAACATACTTATTCCACTGGCATATCATATTTTTGTATACTCATATTGAGGGTTAATATATTTATTTTAATAAATGTTGAATTACTTTTTGGATAGTTGTATTTATCTATAAGCAGTTGTTGCTTTGGTGATGCTGTTTTTTAAATAAAAAAATAGTCTCTAAATTCATTTTCATGCTTTTTAGACAATTCTATGCAGTACTAGTAACTCTTAATGAGGTAATGTTGACAGTTGTGCCACCAGTGTACTTAATCGCCCACAGTTAAAATATGCATGACAAGAGATTCATGTTCATGGTCTTTCAGCTTAATGTAACTCTTATGTTGCAAAAACAAAAAGTAGCTTTTTCTGCAGAGAGCATTAAACAAAAGATGACTAAGTGGAGAGATTTTGGGAAAAAATTCTTTAAAAATTTTCTTTACTTGTCTGAATGTACAATAGTATGAATTCCTAAGTGGAAATTATCATATTGGAGGCTGAACTAATGCTTTATGTTTAAATGCTTGGAAGATGATATGTGATTTGTATTCAAACACTGGGCTGTGTTTTCCTGCTGCAAAAAGGATGTGGCAACTGTGCATACGCTTGACTCACCTGTTCATTCCATTCTGGTGCTGCCGGCTGCATATAGCTGTGTCAGTCAGGAGTTCTGCTATCAGCAGAACAAACTGTTTATATACAGTTCGGTGGGTCAGCTAGCTTTATCAAATCATGTGGTTCATTGCATTGTGCTTCAGACTTGAGTCTGTACAGATTCTACACAGTGGCTGATGCAGTTTGTGTGCAACATGAGGCCAAAGGTGCCTCATTACAAAGCACTGGGTGATTAACCAAATATGTCTGGTGATGCTTTCTTTCACCTGCACCTCTGTGGAACCCAGTATAATCCCTGCACATTTGTTAGGAGTGAGCTTTGTCTTGCCTCTTAATAGACCAATGTGCATAACCCTCAAAAATATGGAAAGCTAATGATATCCCGCAGGCAATGATCAGAAGACCAGTGTATATGAATATTATATCTTTGTGCATTCGTGTCCAGTGTGTCCACACACAAAAACTTTAAGAAGCTGTTTGTGGCTGTATAATTTGCATCAAAAGACGGAAAAAGAGAGTATCGAGAGAAAAAAAGAGAGATGAAGTACCCTGTGTGGTAGTGAATTAAGAAAAGTCCTGATTAAAGGCTTGTTTTGGAAGTCTGAGTTCGTCTCATGTCCTGAAATAAACAGTGCTTCCACCAGCTGAGCTTCACAGACGCATTGCTGCTAATGCTTATTCTTTCTTATGCAAAGAGCTGTAAACAGAGTGATATAATTATGATTCCCAAACAGCAACACAAGAGGTACGGAATTATAGCTATTGTTGTTTTGCACTCATTCTGCTCCCGTCGAGCTCCAGTCGCCACATTATTTTGTATTCATACACAAATGAGAATTATATCCTCTAAAGGAACATTTCCTGTAACCGTGGATTTATCTTTAATAAACACATTAATTATATAATAGCATACACAGTCACGGGATTCATTCAATGGATCTGTCTGAAGAAATCTTAGTTAATAGGAAAGGACAGTGCAGTTATTCTAAAATCTCTGCTGTAAACAAATGTAAAACGGAGAGCAGCATTGTTTGGTCGACATTGCAGCATCCCTGCAAGCTGAGCTGCAAAGCCTTGAGACATTTCTGTGTGGCTGCCCCGTTCACTTGCGTCCAAATGTCAGATGCATTAGTAGGATTCTCGCTTCACCACTTCAAGGAGAACCATCTCGCGTACTAATGCAATATGGGTGCCCATTACCCCAAGCTGAGACTAGAGTAATGGTCAGTCTGTATTGATCT